ACTTTGTTAACATAAATTCGAGGACTTGATAATAAAGCCTGTAAACTAAAGGACTTGATATAGGTCTTAAAAAGTTGCATAAATAATAAGTGTTTAATAAATCGACGTTAAAATAATTATTGATAATATTTAGTTATTTGTTTAGATGATCCCTTAAGATTTTTTGCATTACTACCAGGTGCAGGACTTAGAAACTAAGAAATTTTTCTAAATAAATTAATTTTAAAAAAGTACTATCAATTCGTGATTTTAGAGTTTAATTCTTAATTATTTGAATAAATTTGATTTTGATTTGTAACGACTTTTTGTTAATTAATTTAAAAGTTTTACTTTTGTTTTATTTTCTATATATTCTTATTTAGATCTGGAATGGATTTTGGATACTGATATATTGTCAACTTTATAATGAAACGAATACATTGGGGTGATATTTGTAAAAATAAGGTAGGGTTTACAATGTTTACTGTGATTTAATTAGAAATATTTTCTTGGTTTATTTGGCTCTATTCCTGCTTAACATGGGCAATCCATATTTAAGATTTTGAAAGTGAAATAAACAATCAACATTTGTTCAAGTTTGATTTGATCACTAATCAATATTTTGACAGAAGAGAATACTTAAAAATTGGTTTTTTTTTCTTTAAAGAAAAAAAGTTCGTCCTTTTTGGTTCCATGTTTTCTAATTTCCCCTAATTTTCATAATTTTGGCAAGAGTTAAAAGTAGATTTACATAAATCTGATTGAAGAATTATATGGCATACGTTATATGTTATATGAATCGAGTCTATTTTCAAATCTTAAAACAAAAAAGTTGAATAACCGTTTAGTTTTGATCTAACACTCCATCTAAATTAACATATTCTTAATGCCGAAATGAGAGCTTTAGGGGACTTGACAATGCCCGATTTAAAAACGGTATCAAAACCTTTCACTGATCAGCGAGTCGAGAAAATCTAGCTCTGTTGTGTTTATTTCTCTAAAAGTGTGAACATGGGAGTTTAACCTGTAGCAAACAGTGTTAAATATATACCTCGAAAATACCAAATATTCTTCGTTCAAGCGGTTTTTAAAACTCCAAATTTGAATTGTTATTCTTAAATATAATACAGCTCGCAAATAAAGTGTTCTCAACAGAAATTGTTTTTTTGGTAGATTAATAAGGTTAAGTCTGACACCATTGATCAGTTAAAGGTTTTAACTTTTTCATACAGTATTTTTAACAATAAAAACAATTTTTTTTTTATATTTAATAGATTAAATCACCGGTTTATTTTTAAATTTTGAAAGAACATTTTCGAAATTTTTTCGACATTAATCAATGTTCTTCAAAATATTTTTGTTTATCAAACTCAATTTTATAAGTTATCCCTAACAGACTGGGTTCATTTTTTGCACTAGCACTAATATTTTTGGACTTTTTGCCCTAATCACATATCGACATTTTTGAACTTTTAAGAAATAATAATATAAAATAAAAAACAATAGTTTTTTTATTTCTATGAACGATCCATTTTGTTCGTTTATCTCTACCTTACAAAAGAGTTTTATGTCGTGATTAAAATCTAATCTTGTTTTAGTAACCCAGTAGTTAATTCCTATCTTATACATAGTTGTTTGAGCAATGTCGAGCAAATTTAATTCTGTCATAATCCATTTTTGGTTTTTGATATTCGGTCGTTTTAACCAATCCTTACTTGGTATAGAACATGGGCTCGCTTACATGTTGTACTGCCCAGACTCTGTCCTAAACTAGTAAATTTGAATTTTTCATTGTAATTTTAATACATCTTCCATTTAAAGAGAGACATGTGTGATTCACTTTTGGTATCCTTTAATCCTTTTCTAATCAATAATATGTTGAATATATATGAGATTTTGGTTTTTAATTCTGATAATTTCCTTAATTCTGATAATTCTGATAATTCTGATAATTTCCTTCATTGTTTCTGAAAGTTTTGACTTTTTTAAAGAGGACTGTGCCTGTGGCTCTAATTTTTTCAGCAAACCTTGATACTTATTGCATGACATAAAAAAAAGAAATTTGAGGATATTATATTTTAAAATGCAAATATTTTTCATGAATTTATAAGATGTATATGGTATAGAACATTCAGAAAGCCAGTCTGTGATAAAAAAAAATACTAAAAGAGGCAAAAGCTATAATGATATGTATTCCAATGATATTTCAAACTTCGGCTATTTGATCTGAAATAATGCATATTTTGAAATATAAAATATGTATAGCATTAGGTTGCAAAGATATAGGGATTATAACATTATACTTTGTGGCATTCTTGATGGACGAACAAACATCTCTGTATATTTGTGAACCACGTCTGCAATGAGTTATTAACATATTTGTCAAAAACAAAGTATATTTTTTTTTTGGTTTAAAACAAAGAGAGAAAATGATCCTCAAGGATCAGAGATAAATCATGATCTGGAGATTCAAGAAACAATGAAAAGTGTATTTTCTCCAGGGGGAAGATAGTTCCAAAAGTTAAAGCCCCAACGGGAAAACAAGAGTTAAAGTGACCGTTCACTTATTTGGGTAATTTCAGGGTAAACTTAACAACCTATTTGCTGTTGATTGGTAAAAGTTTTACTTTTCGAAGACAACTGTAGCCGGAGAAAACGCCGATTTTTCGTTCAGAATTTGAGTGGAAAGGGATATTCCCTCTCTAAAGACACTATTTAATGAACAGTCCCTTTAAATAAGAATAGAAAATGATCTTCAAGGATCAGAGATACAGGGGGGATACCATTCCACCCTGAAGAATGAAAACGGCCATGAGGAATATTCTATCATCAATGACCATAGTAAATGATGATAGAATCAGGAGTGGATGTGAACCCAACCAAGGGTTCTCCAACGTGTATATATATAGTATCGTACAGTTTATTTCTCCCAGTTGGAGAAATAAAGCCTAACAATCCAGCTAAAGTTGATCTAAGTACACATGATATTTGCCTGAGGCAATATATCTCCATTCGACTCTTCTGATCAGATACTTTGTGAGAACTGACTTGGCCTTAGGGGATTGGGGAATAGGATGGCCAAAAATACTGCTTTTTCCCCAGCTAGATAATTTCCCTCCTTTCTCTGTCATCAATCTTCCCCTAGTTCCACCCTTTAAACGGTACCGACTTTATATCTCCCAGATAAGAATGGGATTAAATACCCTTGTCCGCCTTGACTGTTATATACTAAGATTGCAAACATACTCAAGGTTCATTATCCCCTTGGGCTGGGTGTGGATTGTTTGGCTTTATTCTTGGATTGCATTGTTATGCTTTATTTCTCCGACTGGGAGCAATGAACTGTACGATACTATGTACGCGTTGGAGAACCCTTGGTTGGGTTCACAATACGGATTCTTCATGAACAAATCATAATAATCCCTTGGGATCATAAAACTACATTAACAACCTCCTCTTTTGTATATGGATTATCTTTCAACAGATCATAAAAATCCCTAGGGATAATAAACCTATCTTAATGACCTCTTCCCGTAGTATATGGATTCTCCTTGAACAGATAATAATTATGACATAATAATCCCTAGGGATCATAAACCTACTTTAATGACCTCCTCTGTGGTACATGGATTCTCCTAGAATAGAACATGATAATCCCTAGGGATCATAAACCTATTTCAACGACCTCCTCTGTTGTATATGGATTCTCTTTGAAAAGTTCATAATAATCCCTAGGGATCATAAACATACCTTAACGACCTCCTCTGTGGTATATGGATTCTCCTTGAACAGATCATAATAATCCCTAGGGATTGACTTCTCCTTCGGGGCACTCTTCTTAGCCATCATGTTTTCTCTTAATAAAGGGAAGCATGAATTTTCAATTGGGGATTGAATCATAAATGAAGTATACTAAATCAATAATTTGTCAGGGTCCCAAAAATGCTCAAAGAAAAAATTCTGGTTTTTGACAGAATTTCTGAAGGCCTGGAAGTTGGGACAGAATTAATTGAATTTGGATTAGGTCACTGAACTACCTTCAGGTTGGTTTACTCTCACCTTGAAGGTCTTCGTTAACGATCGTTAACGAAGGGTCGTCGTTAACGATCGTTAACAAAACAAAAAATTTATTTAAAAATATTGTTTTGGAAAACGATCGTTTTTTAAACATTTTTTTTAAACAATCGTTTTTAAAACCGATCGTTTCGATTTTAGTTTTTACTTCATCATTTTCATAACGAAACGATCGTTTAAAAAAATGAAAACGATCCATCCCTAGCTGTAGGTAGTTGAGGCCTTCTCAATTTATTAAATTCTATCTTTCGATATATATCCGTTAATGTTTATGCTGAACCAAATCTTACTAAAATATATTTCTTATTATTTCAGACCAAAATACTTTAATCAGATGATATGAAACATAATGAAAGTTTTTTAGTATTTTGATTGAGGTTGGGTTAGGCATTAAAGGAAATGAGTCTTTGCAACAAAATTTTATTTTCTAATTTGTATATCTTCTCAACCAAATGTCGTAGACCATAGATATTTCAAGTCTAAGTTTGAAATATCAAAGGATTACGCTATTAGGTTGAAAAGATATTGAGGTTTAAAAATTTGAGTCTGTGGAAAAAACTTAATTCCTTTAACGGATTTCACCGTTAACGAAAAGTTTATAAAGTTGAAAGATCTCTGCACGGACATTTCGGGGAAAAAATATATTTCTCATTTGATTATGATTCAACCTGTATTTGTATTAAATAAACCTTTTTATGAATAACATATTAGACTTTTAAGATAATAATAATGATTCAATTGTAAATATTTGCACGATATTATTTTGTTCAATGCAATATAGATGCTACATTTTATTATCTTTTTATCATTATCTTTACATTTTTGCCTACATTAAAAAAAAACTCTGATTCAAAATCATTGAAAAGATAATGGTTTAGAAACAAATGTTAAACTGTAATTTGTAAAAATTATAAAATCTGTATTATATTCTCCCTCCATGTAATTAAACCCGTTTTTATGAATAAAATTCTATTACAAATTCTAATTATTTAAAAATTATGGGTTCATCTTTTATCCTCAATCCCGCCTTTTCCAATATAATAAACTATATATACTCCCTTCTTTTCTTTAAATTCATTTTCCCCCCCTTGTTGAGTTTTCTTTGTCTAATTCAGATACGATTGCTCGAAATCTAATTGCTAGATAAAATCATCATTTTTTGTTCCTGTTCCATTTTCATGACAATTACAAAATAACTTCCTGGTTGACTGGTTTCATTCAAATAGATTATCAAGTACAATAGGTGGCAACAGAGAAATGGATCAATTATACACGACGTCACAAGTGTTAAATATAACAAAGAAAACGAAATTTTCTCACATTATTTGACATGTTTTTCAAGATTAAATAAAAAAGTGTAAATATAGAAAATAAATAACACATAAAATTGAACTTTTTTCACTGTAAGATAAGCTCTTTATTCTAAAATTATCACTATTATTAATAATTTTGTCGGACACAATACTGAGTTGACACTTGTGATGTAAGAATACGGCTATACAGAGAGTGTACAAATACTACGTTGCCATCTATTGTACTTAACAATCTAGTTGGTTTCATTTAGCATTTTCTAAAATTTATGTTTCCAGCAGTCATATCTGCAACTTTATACCTTACCTCATAGAGGTTGGGATAAGTTGAAAGACACGACCTAGAAGAGGAGCTAGGTTAAAACCTAGAACTTTTACGTCAGCAGGCTCCACCTAAAAATATCCTACTAAGGATTGTAAACAAAACTTGAAGACAACCAAAAATTGATTTTCTTTGATCTTTTTGCTAAAAATTTTCGTATTTATTTTATTAAAAAAATCCAATGAACTTAGTTGGATTTTTTAATTAATTACAAAAATCCGACTAAGTTATGTTTGATTAGAAAAATCCAATTTAATTATGTTTGATTACAAATTTCCAATTGGTTTATTGTTGAAACCAAAAATTCAATTGATTTATGTTTGATAACAAAAACCAACTTGATTTTATTTGATTTCATCAATCCAATGGATTATGTTTGATTGCAAAAATATTTAATAATATTCATATTAAACAAATCTATAATATCCAAATTGATTATCTTTATAAAAAAAAGTTGGGTTTTCAAATAATAAGATCTACCTCAACATGAAGGGGTACTGAGGCAGAAGAGCTCATTTTCTACTCTGAAAGTTACATTTTTTTTAAGTTTGTATGTTTGTTTTTCTGTCTAATTGTCAAACTCATGAACCCAAGACCGATTTGCCTCAAATTTTGTATGTTGAACCATGGTATTGTATCAGCTGGGTTGAAGTTCTAAGTTGAATGGGTTGACTTTTATAGCTAAATGTTAGTTTTCATGCAAAGCGGGGTTCTCAAGCTAATAAATTTATAAAGTATTATTCTCTGTTTGTTTGTCTGCCTGCTTGCATGTTTGGTTGGATGTTCTAACATAACATTAACGAACCTTGGTCCCTGACAGATTTATCTCAAGTTTTGAGCTGGGCGCCTTGGAATGGAACATGGTTAAACAATTCTAAATTGAGAAGGTTAACATTATTAAGGAAATATTTGTCTCAAGCCTAAGCCAGGTTTCCAAGCTAGTACATAAAATAAGTACTTTTCCAACAATTGAGACGTCGCAGACTTTACAATGTTGTTTTTCATCAACAACAGGTTTTGCTTTCCATGATTTTTGTAGTCCTGGGTATCAGGATTTTAAATTTTCAAAGAGTCTATAGATAATATTTCAGTTTTATAAAGAATATGCTTAAATGTAGATCTTAAGGATGCTATTCAAAATCCTCATTAACATTTGTGATAAACATTTATGAAATTGAATAAAAAATTAACAATTAAAGAAACTATCAAAAATCCAATTATATCCAATCTATTGTTAAAATGCCCACGATTGCACCAAGTTCATTTTACTTAATATTTAAGTAATAGATAATTATGTATAGATAATTTTCTTCTTTTATATTGGCTTTGAGACAAATGCTTTGCTGTTCATTTTTCTAATAAAGATAATACTTTGATACCTTGGTATCTTTGTTAAAGGGACTGTAGACGTAATTCATTTATCGTGGTATGTCATTTAAGGATGAACGAACTTTTTTTTCATTTGAAATTACGCCGACAGCGCCTTTAAGCTTTGTAAACATTTGAATCATTTTCTCATTTAATTTGTTTTCAAAATTTTGTATGAATAGTTCCAAAATTTCACTTTAAGTGACTATTTACTCATTTAAAACAGGGCATCTCCGGATTCACAGCGGTACCAAAGAAACCTTAAACCCAGTTTGGTGTAGAACCTGTACTTCAATATGAAAATAATCGCTTTTTAAAATTTATTCTGAATCCGACAAAGCTTTTAAGAGTGCACAACGGTAAAGCGGATGTGCCACTCTCAATTTACGAAGGATTGATCATCAGATAAAAAAAAATCTAAAAATCTGAACCCCCCCCCCCCCTAAAGTTAAATTCTGGGGACAGGAATTAGAAAGTTATTTCTTCTGCATGTTGGAAAATGTCATCTTTTTTTGATATCTTTAAGCAAAGTTCAAATTCAATATAAATATGCAATCAGCTTGCTATAAATAAAATGAAGATTGTAGATAATCGCTGTTACTATAAACTTGTGCATGAATATTGAATTAATCCTCAGGGTTACACCTACAAGGATTAGACTTGATAACACGACTTACAAATTCAGCTTGAACAAGACACTAAAAGTTTAAAACTAAAAATATGACAATCTAAAGCTTGATTTTTGCAGTTTCTGCTTTCAACCGTGTATTTTTATGGTTTTCTAAATGATTAAGCCAGTTTTGGCCGACAAGGAACTCTGAATGCAAGAAAATTAACTAACAACGATAAGTTGGTCACCATGAAACCTTTATCTGATCAATAATGTGGGATAGATAACGTTGTTTTTCTAGCAAAAAAGTGTTTAATTCGGATCATTTTTACATTGTTTTCTTTCAGTCAGTCACATTTGTAGAGAAACCAAAATTGAAAATAAAATTTTTCAAAATTATAAACTTGGATATCCAATTAATACCAGACCAAGGTTTGAAGGGTACTGATATTAATCTATTAATCGGACAAACCACTCTATAAATTTAGGTTCACTCAAATCCAATATAAGATTTTTTCATTTTCCGGCATACCATTGATATTTATTGTTTACTTAAAACTTGAAACTTCGAAAAACTAATAAGTCCCTCTATAGAAAGTATGCAGCCGGATGTTGCTAATGATCTTTGCTATCAATTTATCATGTCGATGATTACAGTGGTAATAAAAAAGAATGGAATGATTGTCGTCCTCATTTTTTCTATCAATCAATAAGTTTACTGTGGATTTAGAATTCGTTGGGAAATTTTTAATTTGAATAAAAAGATGCAAACCCTTCCGGAGACCGATACACGACGGCACCCCGCATGCCCTTTAACCCCATGTCAGATAAAAAAGTGATGGAGTTTTCCCTCTTCTTCTGTCTGCCAACTGATTATTTTCAAATGTGGTGTCTCTGTACATGTATATCTTAATTGCAGATTTCTTACAGTCAATATGGAGAACATTTTGAGAATTAAAGCTAAAAAACGATATATTCCACAGTTTTGATCTTATAAAGATTTTTTCTAAAAGGTAATGGATTTAATCCGTCGTCTTTGCAATAAGGACAGAGATCAGGGTTCGAAGGGAATCGGGGTTTAGGCAGGTTTCAACGTACAGTCACTAGAAATTAACGTTCGATCACAATAACTAAGCTGTCTGTTTGGTTTGATGTGATATTTGAACAAAAGTTTCTGCTGAGTAAACTCACACTACCTGCCTATATACTGCCTACTGGAGAGGAACCTAGTATTTTCAACTTTTTTCAGTTTATTTATACATTTTAGATGTTTAAATATATATTTCTTCCAAGACAAAATGTTTCATGGGTCTAACCCAATCATCAGTTGGAATAAATATATATATTTGTATTAATAAGTATAAAAACTGGGAAGCTGCTCTGATTATTGCTTTATCTATATAATAAAACAGGACATTCGTATATATATATATATGTTGCCTATAGCCGGTCAAACGGCTGGACCGATTGGGCTGACATTTAAAAAAAAAAAAAAATTAAAATATTTTTTCCACGGGCAACGCCAGGCCCTTCAGCTAGTCTATATAATAAAAGAAGACAAAAGTATATAAATTTGTTGCGTATAGCCGGCCAAAATTTATATATTTATATTTTATTTATACTTATATAACAAAACATACAAAATTAAAATTAAGTATTAAGGAGAAAATATTTGAAAACCTCCAAAAATAGAGGTTTTTGGAATATTTATTTATATATATATATATATGTGGGAATATGAATAAAATGATATAAGAAGATTGTTGCTTATCAACTAATATATGTGGGAATATATATATATATAATATCATATTATCTATATCTAATTTTTCCTTAAATTCAAACTAGGAATCCTGGAAGGAAAAGGAGAAAATACAGGAAAAGATATATGCTGGCGGAAATCCAGTAGTTCTCCAACCTGTATTGAAACAACATGTTCTCCTGCTTGGAATTTATTACCTATAAAATAAATTGCTAATAAATGTTAGGTCTGTATTAACTAACTTACTTCTAAAGTGGTGACCCCGAGAAAGAAGCACAATGACCGATATTCAATCAGGGGGTATGTTCAAAGCCCAAAAAGCTTCCGCTGTGTGACCTATTCTAGGTAACCCAATTAAATTCTATAGGTAACCCCATCAATAGACGAATAACTTTTTTTGCAATCATTCTATCTTATATACATATATATATATTTAAACATTCAAAATGTATATATAAACTGAAAAAAGTTGAAAATACTATATATATAAGATACAATATATATATATATATAGATATTTGAAGAAATATCAATAAATAAATATTTGAAGATTTGTTAAGTATTGTATCTTCAAGCTGTTTCATCCTTTCACAATAATAGAAAAAGACAAAAAAGTATTAAGTGTTTTGTACCAATTAAACATTATTAAAGAATATTGTGTTTTCATTTTGTGCCATTTTTTATGTATTTTTGCTTTATTTTTATGTTATATGACATGGTTTTGAGAATCTATATCATGTAAAGCTAATTATGCATGGGAATAGAAGACAAAAAGAAAAAGATACGATTTAGATAAAACCTGGTCTGAGAAGGCCTAACATAGCTCTACATGAAACAATTGTCCGTTTATATTGACATTTTTTAAAAAAGCTCTCCCCCCCTTTAAGAAAACTATGTCAAATAAATAAATTCCCCATATCCTCACCTTAATAATAAATTGCAATTGTTATGCTATAATTATACTGAAGATTATGACCAGCATTCAACTCTGTGTTTGTGAATAAACACCGCGTATAACAAGATTGTTGCGCTTTCACTGATAGCTATTTATGGTGTACTAGCTGAAGGGCCCGGCGTTGCCCGTGGAAAAAAAGAAAAAAAATTTTGAAGAAAAAATTTCGATTTTTTTTGCCTATGACACCCAAGGCCACCCATGAGTGTCCTCAAAAATTTCAGCCCAATCGGTCCAGCCGTTTGGCCGGCTATACGCAACATGTATATATACGAATGTCTTGTTTTATTATATAGACTATAATAAACAGGGACTGTAAAGACGACCTTAAACTCTCAAAATATGACGATTTCTAGGTTGAATTAAATCTTCTTACTTGAATGTAGTCTTTTAAGTGTTTTTTTTACTGATTTTGCAAATTGTGAAACCTGTTTACAATTGTAGGAAAACAGATAGTGTAAATTTCGCAATTTACAAAATACATATAGTTACAAAGAGGAAGATATAGTCGATTTGTTTCTACAATGGTTGAATTTTGATTAAATTATAAAATTAAAATATAAAAGATGTTGGACAGAATCCCATGTATTTTATCAATGTAGTTACTAGCAATTTTACACGACCGGATACAAATTAAGCAATGATGACAATATCTAAGCAACTGTCCTGTTCACAGTTCATCCAGCAGGGTTGAGAACATTTAGGGTTGTTCTGTACATTTAGCTGATAAGATGCAAACACTAAACAGTGTACTCAATACAGTGCTACCCACAAAGGATGAGACTTCAGAGCCCAATACTTTAGACAGGGTATCATTATGAAAACCAGTTTTGA